GAAGTATGAAGGCCTAACAAGAGTAACATATGCCTTAACCTAGAATGGCAGCAACATATTTAGTATCACAGGTAGCCACCAGTGGTAATTTTCAAACAACTCCCTTTTCTCAAATGTACATTTCATTCTGTACTCAGGACAAGAGGCTACTGTCAGAACAGAGAAACAGAATGATTCCCAACTGGCAAAGGAGTCAGACAAGGCTGCATCCTTTCACTCTATCTGTTCAACTTGTATGTAGAACATATTATAAGAAAATCAGGCTTGGATGCAGAAGAAGGAAGAGTGAAAATAGGAGGAAGGAATATCAACAATCTAAGATATGCAGATGACACCATAATACTAGGAGAAAATGTCACGGACCTAGAACACCTACTAAGGAACATCAAAGAAGAACGTTCAAAGGCAGACTTAATGCTGAATATAAAGAAAACAAAAATAATGACCACTGAGGATTTTCACAAGTTCAACCTAGACAATGAAGTAATAGAAATACCATAGTAAAAGAATTCCCATACCTGGGATCAAACATTGATTGAAATGGGGACTGCAGTCAGAAAATCAGAAGACTAAGACTGGAGAGGGTGGCTATGAAAGAAAATTCTAAAATGCAAAGATATACAACTCAGCATAAAAGTTAGAATCATACAAGCCATTGTATTCTCTATTACCATGTATGGATGTGAGAGCTAGACAGTTAAGAATGATAAGAAGAAAATAAATTCGCTGGAGATGTGGTGCTGGAGAAGAGTGCTGAGGATCCATGGACAGCCAAAAGGACAAACAAATGTGTTCTAGAGAAGATCAAACTGGAAACCTCCCTGGAAGCCAAGATGATCAAACTGAGACTGTTGTATTCTCATGAGAAGAGAGGACTCCTTGGAAAAAACAATAATGCTGGGGAAGGTGGAGGGAAGCAGAAAGAGAGGAAGGCCACATGCTAGATGGATGAACTCTATTAAGGAGGTCACAGGTATGGGGTTGTAGGATTTAAGCAGAGCAGTGGAGGACAGAGGGTCTTGGAGATGTCTCATCCATAGGATTGCCATGAATCGAGATTGACTCAAGGGCAGTTAACACCAACAAAACTAGTATTACAGCTATGTAAGAGGATTGTGGAGTATCAGAGACAAAGGCCAATACCCTGCATCAGAAGCATAGGTGCAGTATTGTAACTATACTCAATCTCCTGATCTGACTCCTGAAACCTACCTTAAAAGCTGGTCAGCCATCCTAAGCAATGGAATTTGGCAGCACTGGCAAGAGGTATGCTGTCAGTGAGTGAAGTCACAAGAAGCAGAAGTGAGAAAACTTGCAGGGTCCTGTTGCAACTATTTATCACCACATTGCTTATTGGCAGGAGAGGGCTGATCACATCATCTTGCAGCATTCCACTTATGAGTACCACCAAACTCTGTCGCTCAGGATGACTGTTTAAGGTGGGTTACAGGGCCACATATGATCATGGCAATGATGCCACAATTGTAAACATGAATAGGAAGCAGTTAAGTGGTCATAAGTCTAATTTATGACATCATAGCAGACTAACAGGATGCCAGCCATTATATATGAACTGCTTTTCTCCAACTATCTCCAAATTTGTACCATTCTAAATAAAACCTAAGCAGGGACTCCACATCTGAGGTTCTTTACATATTAGGTTTATTTCATGATAATATTTAAACTTGTTGGTTTAAACATAAAATCATGAACCTATTCATATATAGTCCACTAGAAACCAATGCATAGACTCTTCACTTTTGCCCTAGTTTTCCTGCTTGTGCCGCTTTACATACCATTTGTTACAAATGAACCAAGAAAGCCTTGTGGAGGACAAGCACATATTTCCCTCAGTTTTCCTGGAGTCCTTTTTGTCTCTTCTGTCTCTGGTAGAGGTTCTTGCACTTGCTGCTCACTGTGGTCCAAAGTTAGCTCTTTTTGTTTATTATCAGAAACATCTTTGGAATCCAAAGCATTCTCTTCCTGAATTAAAATAATATTATCAATAGCTTGTGCAAAAGGGGAAAGCCCGATGTATCTTGTAGTATTTTCCAAAGGGACAGCCATATTAATTTAATAATAAAATGAAAAAGGGGGGATGAAGGAGCACTATCAGCACCTTTCATAATAACTCTGTTTTAGTAAGAGCATTTGCGAATATCAATTTACTTCTTCAGACAAACTGATGGAATTAGAAGTACAGCCATAGGTATACTGGACTTACAGGTTTATGGGGGAATGGGCTCAGAATGTAATAGGACACAGAAATATGCAAACTGTGAACCTTCAGGGAGTTAAGATAATACAGGTCTGTCAAACAGCTTATGTGTAGTCCTGAAATGCGAAAGCAATACTTAAAGCAATTTTAAGTGGTACCAAATGCTCAAGAAAACTGTGAAAACAGTGGTGAAAGTCAGTTTCCTGGAGTTAGGAAACTTTTCTGATGAGTTTCTTCTTCTGAGATTATTTCTCAGATCCAACTATGAGGGTCCAACTGTTATTGCCTTAAATCAAGTTGTTAGTCCTGACTATAAAAAATTTAAAAAATTGGACCCGCTGCATTGATCGGATAGCTATTCGTGGACTGGAGCATCCATGGCTTGCCATGTCCCATATTATTCAATGGCTGTGTGTGCTTGTGGTTGCGTTAATGCAGATGTGTGCATGTCACTACTCATTGAATAATATGGGGCGTGAACAATTTGGGGTGTGGGGGCTGTCTGTTCTGCTAGAGTTTGCTGTGGAGCTTCCACAAAACTTCATGGCAAACAGTGGGTCATTTAGACATACTTTAAGGCCCCTTTGCCCCGGGATTGGGCCAGATCCACCAGAACTGTGTCCAGTATACCAGATCTAGGCCCAATCCTGGCCCAGAACTAATGGCCTGCAAACAGGATGACGCAAGACCAAGGGGAACACGGGTCTTTGGGCCCATGCAGACAACCTGTAAGGCTCCAATGACTTCCTCCTAAAGGAAATCAAATCAAAATAAGTTTTATACACTCATCCATCCATGTTTGCCTGGATTAGGGGCACAGGACTCCAATGAATGTGGAAAAACTGCAAATAACAAAACCACTATGTTTTTACCTGAGATAACACCTCTCTAGGAATCTCTAGGTCCTCCAGTGCAACTCTGTGGTCAACATCTGCCAGACATTGACCACAGAATTGCACTGGAGGAGCTAGAAATGCCTAGTGGAGTGTTATCTCTAGGAATCTCTAGGTCCTTCAGTGTGACTTTTGGTTAAAGTTGACCACAGAGTTGCACCAGAGGACCTAGATATTCCTGGAGAGAACATATTAATAAAATCCATGAATAATCAAATCTGCAAAAGCGCAAATGTGGAGGGATAAGTGTACTCCTAAAACTACTCTATTGTAAGGAAAGTTGAGACAAGTTGATCTTAACAACATATTTAAGAATGGTTATTGTATTACTGATATAAAAATGATATAAACAGTCATGCCTAAATGATAAAGGCATGACTTTAAAGCTCTAAAGGTAATGGAGTCTTATGATGATCTTATATTTAATTTCCTGGGATCCTCAGGTTGTCTTTGACGATCATAACAACAGAAATACCGTAACTTCCAGTCCTCATAGTAGTCAAGTTAGCAAAAAGAAGTTTGACTTTTTCTGAGTCAATGTTAGAAACTAAAAATTAACAAGCTAAATTCAAATTTATTACATGTCCCTAATTTTATCTGTTGTGGTTATAAAAGGAAAAAGGGTTAACAATTGTGCCTAGTATACTTTCCACTCCAATAACATTCAGTGAAAACTAACCCCAAATAAATGTGCCACAGTACCCAATTTATGTTTCTTTTACCCAAATAGCCCATACACAGTCAGAAACAAAATCTTAATGGCAAATACCTGAGGCTTAATTTTATTTTCCATATTTGCAGGTGTGCTGTATTCTTGCTGTTTACCACCATACCCTCTGACCTGCTCAACAACCTAAGATTTAAAAAAAATAATCTAATTAACTGAATTTCAATGGTTGTACATCCTACCTCTCTAATATCCATAAACTAGTACGGTACCACTCTGTGTGTGTGTATGAGTAATATTCACCTTTTACCTGTTACTAGCCCTATCTGTCTTTTCAATGATATTTCTGGATTTCACGTTGCCCTTGTAGGCATACTTAGATCATTGAAACCGATGGATGTGCTTTCCTGTGAAGTGTGGCCAGCTGCTCAGGTATAAAGAAAAAGCTATGTATTTGCAGGGGTATTTTCATGTGTGTTTCAGTCTGAGTATCACCAGTGTGCCTTTGGTGAAATTAGTATTCTATTGTCTGCTGTCAGGGAAAAATAAGAACATCTTTGGCAGCCAGTGGAGCTTCAAAAGCTTGCACCATGTATAATGTGCATTTTGGTTGGTCCAGTAACAGTTTCACTGTTTGGTGGATTTTGGATGATGCTGTACTACATCTTAGAGGAGTCTTTTTTGCTGCGTATTCCTGCATGGGAAGCGGCTGGACTGGATGTGTTTTGAACTCAAGGCTTACACAATGGGCTTTTATAGGTCCCTCTGGGTTTTATAAGGAAGGACAGGGATGTGGAACTTTTTGCCATCCAAGTACTAACCAGGCCTGACTCTGCTTAGCTTTTAAGAATATACAGGTTCTGATGCTTTCAGGGTAATCATGTGCTCCTCCAAATGTTGTTGGACTGCAGTGCCCAGCATTCCTCATCACTGGTTATGCAGGCTAGAGCTGCTGGAATAAGAGGTCTGCTAGATTCCTACCCTTGCATAAGCATTTTACTTGGGTTTAAAATAGATTTAGAACACCAACCTTAACATGTTCCTGGCACAAGAAAAATGTTTGCTGTATGTTCCCTTTGCTTGTTTTTCATACATTTTGATTACGAGTGTGTATACTTTTGTATATTTAATGACGTGTAGTTTGCCTGAGGGAAAATACACCTTCCTCTCCAATTCCCAGTGAATGAAGACAGTGGGGATTTACTTGGGATCACATCTAAAAACCAGCATGGCATAGTGGTTTAAGCATCAGACTAGGATCTGGAGACCAGGGTTTGAATCCCAGTTCGGCCTTGTAAACCCACTGGGTGAATCACATTCTTTCAGCCTCAGAGGATGGCAATGGCAACCCCCCTCTCAAGAAATTTGCGAAGAAAACCCTTGACAGGTCTGCCTTAGGGTCACCAGAAATGACTTGAAGGCACATAACAACAACAGGTCTCAGGAGATTCAGTAGGAATGTGCATTTTTAAGAAGATGTCAAGAGAGCCTAGTTGTAAAATGATTCCAAGCCCTAGCAATGTGCCCTAAAATGCATCCTGTTGTTGTTGTGTGCCTTCAAGTCATTTTTTACTTATGGCGACCCTAAGGTGGACCTATGATGGGGTTTTCTTGGTAGGATTTGTTCCGGGGAGGGGAGTTGCCACTGCCTTCCCCTGAGGCTGAGAGAGTGTAACTTGTTGAAGACCATCCAGTGGAGTTCCATGGCTTAAATGGGAAAGTGAACCCTGGTCTCCAGACTTGGTATCTATCCTGTAGAAATAATGCAGTTTGACACCAATTTTAGTCCTGTAGCTCCATCCTATGGAGCCCTGGGATTTGTAGTTTTACAAAGGCCTTGCGCCTCCTCTGCTGGTCCCTCACAAACAGGGTGACCAGATGTTCTCACCACAAAGGAGGACAAGGCACTGCAAAATATAGGCCAGTCAAGGAAAATGTAGACCATGACCAAATAAAAGCTAAAAACACTCATATAAATAGAGATTCCTGTTTCTTAGTAATGCTCAAAATGGAGGACGCTCTGGAACTCCTCCTGGACAGAAGGCTGGAGGATGCCTTGTCACTCTGTTCACAAAACTGCAAATCTATATATTCTATAGGATGGAGTCATGGCAGTTAAAAGTGGTGTTGAATAAAACTGGTCAATCCTTCTTCAAGGGGAGCCAGTGTGGTGTAATGGTTTGAGGATTGTTGTTGTTGTGTGTCTTCAAATTGTTTGTGACTTATACTGACCCTAAGGAAAACCTGTCATAGGGTTGTCTTTGGGCCTTTACAGACTGCCAGAAATAGTGCAGCAACTTGAGTCCATTTTAACTACCCAGGTTCGGTGCTAGGGAATCATGGGAACTGTAGTTTATTGTGGCACCAGAGCTCCCTGACAGAGAAGGCTCAATGTCTCAGAAAAGAATACAATTCCCATGATTCCGTAGCACTGAGCCAGGGCAGTTAAAGTGGACTCAATTTGCACTATTTCTAGCAGTCTGCAAAGGCCCATAGTGAGATTTCTTCAGAGGAGGTTTGCCATTGCCTTTCTCTGAGGCTCTGGAGACCAGGGTTGAAATCCTGGCTCAGTCATGGAACCCCACTGGGTGACCTTGGGCAAATTACACTCTCTCAGCCTCATAGCAAACCCTCTCTGAAGAAACTTGTCAAGAAAACCCAACAATAGGATTTTCTTAAAGCCTTAGGGTTGGAAAATTATATAATATTTTGAAAACAAGCATGCCGTTCAGCCTCAGGGGCAGGCAATGGCAAATTGTTTCTGAAGAAACCTGCCAAGAAAAACCCATGATAGGGTTTTCTTATGACCTTGAGGATGGAAAATTATATTATATAATATTTTGAAACCAAGCAAG